GTGCCTAGGGATGGCCACATGTAAGGCTTTCCCCTCCTCAGCAGTCTCTGTTTGCAGGAAGTCAGTCATGCCCACACGCCACATGAGCTGCATTCGAGAACACCCCAGGCTGACATTCTCCTTTGCAAGTGTAGATTTATGAAGACTGCCCAGTTCCATCCCCACCCCAGCCCCCCACGCACACCTCACTAGATACCCAGTGAAGGAGATTCAGTTAGAAACACCTAACATTTTACCTGGCATGACAGAGAGCCCCATATTCAATAACCTGCCCTAAGCAGAAGCATGAGGCAAAGTGGTTGGTTGGCATTCCACTTCCAGCAGTGACCTTCACATGTAAAGCTTTTCTCACAAACCAGGGCCTTTCATGTGTTTCAGGGGAGGAACATGAGGCTCAGAGAGGTGGGTGACTAGCCCAGGGGCTAACCAGTGAAGAAGCCATGGTACAGACCTCATTCCAAAGCCATGACCCTAAGCATTGCACCCAACTGCCTGTCCTGCACCTGCAGGAGCCTCAGGAAAATGACAGTTTTGGGGGGGAAGAGAGCACAACAGCCTACAGATGCCAGAAATGAGCTTGAGCCAGGAAAGGAAAGGGGAGGGGAACGTAGGGGAAGGGAAGGGAGGGGGAGGGAAGGGAAGGGAAGGGAGGGGAGGGAGGGGGGAAGGGAAGGGAAGGGAGGGGAGGGAGGGAAGGGAAGGGAAGGGAAGGGAGGGGAGGGAGGGGAAGGGAAAGGAAGGGAAGGGAAGGGAGAAGAGAGAAGAGAGACAATTACTCGAATACGTAAGGCTGCAAAGCAGAGATGGTGCATAATCACCATAAGAGGAAATGAGGAGATGCTGTTTATAAATAAATTATTGAGTATTTGTATTGGAAAGAACCCAGCGCCTGAATTCAAGGCCCTTGTATTAATATTTACTATATTGTAATGGTGAGATTTTCACAGGGCACTCTGGGTTTAGACTGGGTAGGTTCTTTGGATAAGAGCCTTCCAGAAGAGAGAGCAGGGTTGGGACAGAGCTCTGTTGTGCTCAGGGATCAGCAATTTGGGCAGGGCTCAGTGGGGACAGCTGATCCCTGGCCTTGTGGCATCATTCAGAGCAGCTTGCAGGCCGAGTACTGGAGCCTTCTGAAGCTCCTTCCCTCATATGCCTGGCCTGGCCATGGTGCTGGGCAGATGCAAATAGCTAGGGCTGGGCCAGCTGTAGCTTCTGTGTCACCCCAACATGGAAGCCTCAGGACTTTGTCCCTTCCAGCCCAAGGCCAGGGTGTGTGTAGTAAGAGAGGGAGCCCGTGGGAGCTGTGTTGCCCTTATGACCTCCCTTGGGGATCTATAGCATCCCGTCCATCTGACAGCAGCAAGCCTTTCAGGTGGGGCCACATTCAAAGGAAGGAACAGAAATACCCACTGGCTGGAGGAGGGTCCCAGAATTTGCAACATCATTTTCACACAGAGAACCTCAGCTTTCTGGGGCCTTAGCCTCTGAGGCAACCCAATTTACAATGTTCCTCAGCTTTCTCAAAGCAGGATTTTTACAGATTACAAAGGTCCAAAGTACAGAATTTTCAAACTCTTTCTTACGGACCCTTATCATTAAGAATGTCTCGCCACTTGAACCGGGACGGGGCAAAGCTTCAATGGCACTGGGAGAAGAAACATCATGTTCGTTCTGCCTGTGACAGGTCCGTGGCAGACATCCTCCCCCAAGCAGGGATCGTCTGCAAACTAAGCTATGTGGCAAATGTTGGAAAGATTCTCATGAGCAAGCTCTGGTTTTAGATAGTTGGAGATATGAGTAAGAACCAACTGATAGGCCAATGATGAGTGTTTTTCCCTGTGCCTTTTAACATAGTCCCAACAGACTTCTACTTGACCACACTATCTCCTTAGGCAAAGTGGCCTAAGAATGACCACATTGGGCTTTCTTAAAAATAGTCTAGAATTTAAGCAGGCTAGGAATTCAAATTGGCTTTTGCTATAACCAAATCAAATTGGTGATATCATTTTTGGTGAGCTTATTTATAAGGTCATTTTTAAACACTATGACAGTGGTTCTCAAAGTGTGGACTCCTGACCACACCAGCATCCCCTGGGAACCTGAAAATTCCTACGCACCATCCCAGACCCACTGAATCAGACGCCCTGGGGCTGGGGCCCAGCAGTCTGTTTAAACGAGCCCTCTGTGGGATGCTGGGGCAGACTGCAGTCTGAGAATCACTGCCTTTGGGCGGGGGGAGTACCTGCCAAGCCAGGCACTGGTGGTAGCCGAGTCTGGAGCAGTGACCAGACAGTGAAACTCACACAACTCCATACCAACCTGCATGCTAGCAGTGTTATGGAGGGAGCCCCAGGCCTCCAAACCAAATGCAGATCCCACCGTTAACATGACTTTGTCATCTTGGAAAAAGTGAGTTAACATCTCTGAGCCTCGGCTTTCTTAATTTTTTATTGATTTTTTTAAGAGAGAGAAACAAACACTAATTTGTTGTTTCACTTATGTATACATTCATTGGTTGCTTTGGGTATGTCCCCTGACCAGGGATCAAACCCACAACCTTGGCATCTCAGGATGACAGTCTAACCAACTGAGCTACCCAGCCAGGACCTCTTGGCTTTATCTATAAGTAAGGCTGAGATAGGAAATAATGAGATTTTACTGGACCCTTATAGAATCCATTAACTCTGTTATCTCATTTAATCATGCAACAATCCTATGTTATTGCTAGTAGTAGTGTCTCCAAACTAAGGCACAGAGATGTTGGGTAACTTGTCCAAGGTCCCACAGTTAGTTCCTCTCTCAACCACCCCTGCAATTTCAGAATTATAAAGCTCAGTGGCAAAGATTATAGCAGTATAAGTTTGCACAGAGGAAGGTGGGACCAGGGTCCTAGGCCCCAGGCAGGCTAGGCATTCTGCTGTCGGTGCCAGCTGCCCCCAGTGGTTGGGGGGCTACCAGGTGACAGAGCCAGGTCACTGTCAGATCTGTTATTCTTTGAGATGACAGGAAAAGAGTCACAGAAAACAGCTCAGAGGCATGAAGGAGAAAATTGGTTCCTGATACATGTTGACAGGGCTCATTACCCAGACATCTTACTTTCATAAAGCCACAGTGGCACTGTTTACTTAGAAGGGCTGGCTACTGGCAGTAACAGGCCAGGAGCCAGGGGTGCTGGGGAAATGAGAGAAGAGACATGCCTCATGCTGAGGCTCGGAGACCAAGCTCACACGCGCGAATCTCTCCTCCTTCCTCCACTCTGCCGCCACAATTGCCTCCCTGTAGTACAAGCCAGAACACAGCACAAACCCTCACCTCAAGAACCAGTCATGGCTCCCCATTACCTCCAGAGTGAACCCAACCCATAACCTGGATTCAGAGCCACCCAGGATCACCCCCAAACTACCTCTCTGACCTCATATCCCCCATTTCCTTCTCTGAGTCGGGGCCCTACTGATGCCCTGGGCCCACCCAGGTGCATCTGCGCCCCTCTCCCCTTCCCTACCTGTAGAAATGTGCTGGTGGGAGCCCCACTGATACATCATGGAGATACTCGACCCAGTGTCATGATCGGCAGCAAGTCCCTCTGTGTGGGAGGAAAGGACTGGAAATCTCGACCTGTGAAATTTAGAAAGACAGACAGACAGAAAATTCACTTCATACTGACATAGCCATTGCCAAATAGTTTACACTTCCCAGCTATGCTGAAAGAGATGGTGAAAATAGATGAATGCTGATTCACCACTTTTGGCTTAGACCCTCTGATGCGTTCCAGGCACAAGGTTTTCACGCCCCACCTTCTTGTGGGCAACACTGAAACCACAAACCTAGCACAGTCTAAGGAACATCAGCAGGCATTCAGGGTCAATTAACCAAACGTATTCTTTCTCTAGACATCTATTCAACAACCACTATGCCTAGGGGCTGCCATCGGCATGGGGGCATTCTTTGTCATTTGGTTTTCTTTCTCCAACTTTCACTATTTTAATTTTTATTCCCTCATCATATACAAAAGTATATTATCAATAAGTGTGTAGTGAAAGTATTTAAATTAAGAATATTCAGTGTTTAGGCTCTTAACATATGCCTACTCGTGTCTGCATGACAAAACAATAACTACTTCAATGGGGCTGACATGTAACTGGTGCTTGGTAACCAAATTCTCTTCCAAAGCCAAAGTCAGCAAATATTTTCTGTCGAAGGGCAAGTAGTAAATATTTCAGGAGTTTTCAGCCAAGATCCAAATCAATGATATTATGTAGGTATGTTATGTAACAAGCTAGAAAACAAATTATCGCAATTTTTTTTATTTTTTAAATTAAAGATGCAGTTAACCCTCCAACAACACAGTTTAAACTGTTTGGGTCTCGTACAGTTTAAACCCATGTCATTCGAGGTTCAGCTGCGTCTGTGATCCACGGTCGGGAATCCAAATGTGCAGAGGGTCATTTTAAGTCACATGCAGCTTTTCTTCTGCATAGAGGGCTGGTGCCCTCACTCCCACATTGTCCAAGGGCCAACCGTATAATATTATAATTAAGTTCAAGTTTTTGTAACACAGGCTGTATTAGTTCGGGCTATCATAATTGGGAACTGGGAATACCAGAGACCAAGGAACTTAAACAACAGAAATATATTTTCTCAGTTTTTAAATGAATTAATTATTTAACTCTCCTCAGTTTTAATTTTTCTTATGGTCAATATCAATAGCTATTACCTATGTGAAAAAAAGTCTTTATACTCTTCTTAAGAGCATAAACTGTCATGAGAACAAAAAGTTTGAGAACCTCAGGGCTAAATCAAGTACCTTATTTAGTCTTCAGAACAACCTACTAAGTAGGTAGTGTTATCCTACTTTGCAGATGAGAAAACTGAGGAACAGAGAAGTATAATAACTCATTCAGGGTCACCCAGGAAGTAGAGAGACAAGCTGAAACTCGAACCTGCGTCACTTGTCTCTCATGACTGCCTTGTATCTTTGGGGCCCTCCCCGACCCCTCCAGGTGTGTGAGCTCTGCAAGGGAGCAGCGCCTGCTGACAGCCCCGTGGTCTACGTGGACAGGGCCGGCTACGACAAGCAGTGGCATCCTGCCTGCTTTGTGTGCGTCAAGTGCTCCGAGCCGCTGGTGGACCTCATCTACTTCTGGAAGGATGGTGCGCCCTGGTGCGGCCGCCACTACTGCGAAAGCATCCGGCCCCGGTGCTCCGGCTGCGATGAGGTAATAGGCAGTGGGGCTGGGAGGTGGGGTGGGCACCCCCACCATTGTGGGAGACAACCCAAGGCCAAGGGGAATGTGGCTTCACTGATGATGTGATCCACCAATAGGAACACTCAGGCTCAGGTCACGCTTCACACTCTAGCCTGTTTTTGCCTCTGCAAAATGGGTCCAATATTAGTTTCCACCCCTAGGATCATTGGGATGGGTCAGAGATAGCATGCCTGTCCAGCCTTGTCCTTGGCACTTAGTAAGTACTCAGGAGAACATCGTAGGGGATGTAACAGGAAGCAGGTACCTGGTTCTGCATCTATTAGTTGTGGTTATACAACTCCTGTGCCTCAGTTTTCTCACTTAAAAAACAGGAAGGATAACAATGTCTATTCCATGTGGTTACTATGAAGATAAACAAGATACTGAATGGAAATGCTTGTCATGGGCTTGACCAAGTAGCTAATAAATGGGAGCTGCTCTTAGTCTTAGGATAATGTAACATAAAATGGCACAACAACACAACATTAACCTACTATAACACTGTACAATAAATACAATGCAATGCAGTTGTTAGAGATGTTATGAAAAGGACTCAGCTGTCCAATATGGTTTAAAACTAGAGGAACTCCCAGGTGTATTAATAATGATAATAATAATTGTGATAATAATAAGTACTATGCACATGCCTTCAGTGGTGGGAAACTCACTACCTTTATCTTTGGCACATATGAGGGTCTTCTTCATTCTGAGCCAAGAGCTGGCTCCTACCACCTTCCACAGTTGGTCTTCATTAGAAGTTAAGGCCTGTTACCTAGTAACTGTCATCAAGTGACATTTAAAAAGGAGGACTGTCAGCAGGCCTGCACCACAGCCTCACTTCCGTGAGGACAGCAGTATGTTCACTGTAACAACACTCTGCCCTTTCTTCAGGGCTCATGATGAGTCTGTAACTTGCTATGTACTTTAGGTGCGATATGCTATTTATACCTCACAACAACCCTGTAGAGGGAGACAATCATTACATCCCTCTTATGTGTGAGAGAAGTGCAGCTCAGAGAGGGCAATGATAATCACGGCATCGGCTTTGTATCCATCAGCACTCCAAGCACTTCATATGTAGTAGCTCCTGCAGCACTCATAAAATCCTATGGGATGGGTAGTATTTACATCCCCATTCTACAGATGTGGAAACTGAGGCCCAAGGAAATTAAGCAATTTGCCCCAAGCCACAAAGCTAAGTGTTTAAGTGATACTTTACACCCAGTTCCTATGTGACCCCCAACCTCCAAAGTCACGTCTAACCAGTGTACAATCCTGCTCTTTCTGAGCCTCGGGTTCCTCACCATATATATATTCCAAAGTGTCACTTTCTTCTGAGCTTGAGTGACATGTGTGCTGAAGACTCTTGAAGACTGGCCATAGGCAGCTTCACTATCATTAGGCTGCCCTCACTGGAGTATTTAATATTGTCTCAGAATACAAAGGGGCTTCACAATTGACCCAAAGAGTGTTCCAAAGACTGGATGAGTAAAACCTGCTGATGGTAGAGGACTTTTCTTTCCATTCAAGGAGCTACGGTGCAACCATGACCTTCACCAAATACTGTGCTTAGTGCCTCAGATTAATGTCAGATTTCTCCATTGAGGCACTTAAAGGTCAAAACAAAGATAGGATGAACTACCACCCTACAACTTGCCTTCAATATACTGTCTCTACTAAGTTCACTTCTTCTGCTCTCCTCTCCAGATAATATTCTCGGAGGACTACCAGCGTGTGGAAGACCTGGCCTGGCACCGAAAGCACTTTGTCTGTGAGGGCTGCGAGCAGCAGCTCAGTGGCCGGGCATACATCGTCACCAAGGGTCAGCTTCTGTGCCCAACTTGCAGCAAGTCCAAACGCTCCTGAAGGGCTGCCTGTCCATGGCCAGAATCCACAGGCACCCTGTGAGGAGGAAAGCCAGGTGTGCTGAGGCCTTCCTACAGGTCTGATGTGACAACCTGCAAGCAACAAAAACAGTGATAATTTTTTCAGTGAGAATATATATACACATATATTCTAGGTGGGTGGTGGTGGATCCTTGAGGGTCAATAGTTTCAAAGCCAGAAATGCTCTGAGAAGTCTTAGGATGGAGTTATTTTGTTTTTGTTGCTGTTGTTTCCCAGCTACCAACTAAAGACACAACCACTGCAAGGGATGTCTAGGAGGAGTTTCCCAGAATGCAGTTCTGAGTGATGGAATCACGTAGCTGTAGAATGTGCGTGCTTTTCCGTGAGCCTGGGAGCTCCCCCATGAGCAGGGTGGTATCCCAACAATCGTTTGTTGCCTCCTTTCAAATGGAATTGGAATTTTAAATAAAAACCTCTTTTTGGCATGATAAACATCCTATCAATAAACATTTTATGTAGTCCACATATGCCCTTATCTAATTATTTACACTAAGGCAGTGATTTCATGGCATCCATTTAGCCCCATACCCCTGAATGCTGGTGCTGGCAAAGGCATTACAAATGCTGGTGCGCCTCTTCATCGATGGGTCTCATCAGACTTCTTTGGAGAAGGGAGGTCCTTGGAGCAGAATCCCACCCCCAGTTTCAGTTTTCCCTAGATCACTGATGGAATGTGCATGTTGTATTTCATGGTGTACCAAAAAGTAGCCTCCTGGGAGCTGAAGAGCTGCTTAAGAAAAGGGACCAGACTCAGCTGCCCTCAGAGCCCAAGCAGGTGAACCGCTCTGGGAGTAAGACCAGGTAAAAGATTGGGGAGCCACCAAACAGGGCCACATGAGACCTGGTGACTTGTGTGGACAGACCTTAAGAAATACTAGACTTTTATGAGAAATCTCTCTTTTTTAAAAAATATTGCCAACTGAACATTGAATGAGCCAAACAGAAAAGGACTTAGAACAAGATTTTCTTTTTTATGGCCTCCCTGGGTATTTCCAGCCTCCAAGTTAGTTTACTTTCCACAATTTCTAAGAAAAAAAAACACATCTTTTTCTACTGCAGATAAAAGGACAAAAAAATAACATGAGTCCTAGGAACTCACAGTCCCATCTCCAGTGACTTTCTTTCTTTCTTAAACTTCCTGTCTGTCACCCAGTCTCTTGAATTTCAACGCCCAAATTTTGCTCTCATCATCTCTTATCTGCTGCACCCTCGTTCATGTGGCTACAAGTCTGACCAAAGCAGCTGCAATATCCTTCCAAGGTGGTTTTCTGCGTCCACCTCCTCTGTAGCCACACTCAGTTTCCCTGTCCTGTTTGTCTTAATGAGAGAGAAGCTATGTGTTGTCTGCCTCACCCACCCTTCCTGGCTCCCCATTTCCTCTCAAGTTAAGAACAAGTTCTCAACCTGACATTTGAATCCTTCCAATTTGGCTTAATTGTCTTTCTGGTCTTAGGAGCACAGTTTCTCTAGATTTCTATTTGCCTCTTTCTCCTAGACATTCAGAAGCTCCCTTTGATCAAGCACTCCCCACCATGCTTTTGCTACTCCTGAGCCAGTTACTTGAAGACAAACTCCTTTTGAAAATCTATCTATTCTAGAAGGTACTTCTCAAGCATAACCTACTTCTTAGTCCCTCCTCAGAGACATCAATGGAATATTCACTCATTCACTCCCTCATTCATTCACTTGTTCTCCAAATGTTCACTGAGTACTACAAGAGTTCTAATTCTGATGCTGGCTACAGAAATATGACAATCAAAAGAAGAATACTGCCCCAGATTTTACAATCTGAAGGAGATGAGCCCTAGGTAAATACTGCCACAGGCAATGTAAAATCACAGCTACTGTGGATGCTATAAAGAGGAGGTACCTGTTCGTATAAAGTATATAAAAGATATTGGACCTAGTCAGGGATATCAGGTGTACCCCTGGGAAAGTGGCACTTAGAACTGATCATTAAAGAGTGAGTACACCTGAGTAGGCAAAAAGGAAAAGAGGATAGTGGTTAAAGATGAATATGAGGGTGGCATGTGCAAAGGCCCTGGGGCTAAAGCAACAGCAGTTTATTCAATATCTATTAACTGGTGTTACAGATACAGCAGTGACCATGGCTCATTCATGGGACTCAAGGAGTGTCCCAAGGATGTCCCAAAGGTGTAGCAGGAACACAAAGAGTGACTGGGCATTAGATTAGTACTGAGGCCTTAGAGGTAGTCCAGGTTTCAGGTGACAGAAAAGACTGGCCTTTGTTCTAGAAGCAATTGGGAGCTTTCCATGAGTTTTTTAAGCAGGGGTTGGTGACAGCTAGACAGGGAGATTATCAGTTACATGATCTCTCATTTGCTCAAACCCCAGCATGATACCTAACTGATTTGTCCACACCATTTTGGGTAGGAGTGATGACCCACAACAGAAGCCATGGGCCCCACCCAGAGCATGCTCCTGCCTTCTCGTGTCTGCTAATGACACCCCACTTTGCATTTGGAACATCTGAATCCTCACTGACACTCCCCTCCCCTGCTGGATCCCTTGGTACAGTCCATTCTCTTCCACCATCTCTTTACCTCCCTCCCAAGGTCGAGGTCCTATTTCACTTTGAACATTTCCTTTCCAGCCTGACAGCAGTTTCCTAGTGAGTGTCCCTGCCACAAACTCAGCATCTGCATACACAGCCGAGGTGAACTGCTCAGAAACACAGTCTAATTATGCACTTTCCTCGCAGAACACCCACAATAGTGGCTCCCTATTGGACACACACAAGTTGAAATTTCTTAGCTTTGCAGTCAAGCTTATTAATGTCCCTGGCCCCAGCACACCATGCTTCCTACTCCCCTTTCAGAAGCTAAATGAACAGCTTGCAGGTCTCTGTATACACCCTGTGCCCTCCCTACCACTGTGCCATTGGCTCAGGCTGTCCCCTTCACCCCGAGTTCCCCACTTTGTGCTCAGTCGCTGCATCTTCCATGGGGCCACCGCAGCTCAGTGGGATTTGGTACCAGATCTGGAAAGACATATGCTTTAAAATATTACAGTGTTAACTGGTACATGATTCACCCGGCCCCAGCCCATCAGCAAGAAAAGGGGTCACTGTTCCCATCACTTTCATTCTCCAGCAACATTTCCCTGGCTTTACCCTCACCTCTGGGTGTCATCTGTGCCATCATCACAATACCCCAGGCTCACGGTGATCATCATCACACTGATTCTACTGTGCCACAGCTATTAGTGTGTGAAAGGCTCCCCTACGAACTTCTTTGCCTCTCCAATTCCTTAGTACCAGCCTAGCAACTAAATGAAGGAACAAACAGCCTGGGGCTCTCCGTTGACTCACTCATGCTGATGATGGCTCTGCATTCCAAAGTGGCCTACACCAAGTGTAAAAACTTCAGACTGAAGCAGACACTTGTCCAAGTATAAAAACTTCAGACTGAAGCAGACACTTTTCTTCTTCCCAGTGGGAAAAGCCTACTTCTCGTTATACAAACTCACTTGCCAGCCTCCTTTGCAGGTGAGAGATGCTCTGGAGAAAGCAATCCCACTTTCTTTTTCTTTTGATATAATTTTAAACTTACCAAATGTTATGAAAACTTTCTTCTTGAACCATTTGAGGGTGTGGCTGTCACAATGCCCCATCACTCCTGAATATTTGTGTGTAATTCCTACAAATAAGAACATTCTCCTGCATCACCACAAACAACATTATAATCAGGAGCTAACATTCCATCAGCTGACCCTCAGATACAACTCAGGTGTTACCAGTTGTCCCAGTAAGGTCTTTTATAGCGAAAGGCACCGTCCAGGGCCACGTGTTTCACATAGTTATCTGGCCCCTTCAGTCCCTGTAATTTGCGTGTGCTCCTCGTTCCTTCTTTGACATTTATGATCTTGACATCTTAGCATATTAAAGCTCACTTATTGAGCAGAATGTCCATCAAATTGGGTTTGTCGGACATTCTCTCATAATTAAAATTCAGGTTACACATTTTAGGCAGGAAAGTCATGGATATGGTGTGTTTTTGTTGCACTCTATCAGATAATCAAAGGTTTTTGATTGTTTCATTAGTATTGATATAAATTTTAAACACTTGATCATGCTAGATTTTTCTAATGTGAGGTTCCTCTTTTTCTCTATGTATTTAAAGAGCATTTGGGGGAAAGTACTTTGAGACTATGTTAATATCCTGTTGCTCATCATAAAAATCCCAGCCACAGGTTTTAGTATACATTGATGTTTCTTGACTGAATTAATGATTACTATAATAACTGCCAAATGTTGATTTCTCTAATTCAATCACTCCTTCAATATTTATTACTTAGCATTCTAATATAAGGAAAAGCTCTATCTTCTATTTACTTATTCATTTATTTCAGTTAGGAGTTATAAATTTCTGTTTTATAAAATTGTTTATCATCTATTACTGTCATTACTTATTCTGATACTTGAATTGTTCAAAATTTGGCCAAAGAAAGCTCCTTCAAGCTGGCTATGTTCTTTGGACATGTCCCCATCATTCTTTAAATACAATTAATTTTACATTCTGTCACAAAAAGGAGTTACCAGCTCATCCTGGACTATCTTTAGCCCAGCTTTCAAGTCAGCCATTTTCAAGGAGTTCCCCTCTTCTTGAGCTGGGTGATGTTGAGTTGAAACTCCTGGTGCCATCTTAGACTCTCAAGGAGACATGAGAACCAAGCCAGTAACTGAGGACTGTGGAGCTGAGAGCTTAGGTCCCTGTTGATATCAAAGAGCCAGTGAACTTGCCCCTTCGCTTCTTGTTGCATGAGAATCATTTCCTTATTCTTTATGCAGGGTGATACATTTCCACATTGTGTAATATGTTTCCTCATCAAATGGTTTCTCATTAGTGAGGATATTCTGAATTGCAGCCAAAAACAATGTGACTGATACCCAAGAAGTTTCACATTTCAGCTTGGGTGAATCCCACGTTTCTGAAGCAATTCCACTCCCTACTTCATTTGGGTTTTTAATCAAGTCTGTCCCACAGAGACAGAAATAATAGTGACATGGGTACTTGACTCACTGGGTTATCAGACTTTAGCTCCAAATGTTTGGCTTCAAATATGAGAAAGTTACATGAAAGTCAAGGCTGTGCAATGGCATATGCTCTGGGCACTCACATGTCTCTGCCTTGGACAAGCCCAGACTGCAGAGGACACTGTTGGAGGAAGAAGTGTGCTCGCTCTTCTATCTCAGCTGCTACCATGTTCAGGCAGGTTCCACCAGTCTGAAGCAAAATGTTCTCTTTCTACGATAATAAAACCTTCAGTCATACACATGAAGTATGTCTTTGTTCTGAGTTTGGGACAATGTTGGTTCTCTAAAAACAAAGCATTTGGACTTGCAGACCGAAGAAATATTATCTGGGCCTCTCTTATTCCAAGTGAGGAAACCCAATTCAAGCCAGTTTAACCGCACCCACCCCCACCCCACGCAAAAAAATT